TAAAAAGTGAAAGATATATCACTTGATATTCTCAATAATTAATTCATATTAACTATTATGAAATAATAGGAAATAATATAAAATAGTAAAACAAGTAATTTCTAATATATGAAAAGAAAATATTTTTTTATATTAAGGAAAAAATTTATTACTAATAACTTTTTCTAGGAATAAATTATTTCTTATTATAAGTCTTAACAGGAAAGATAATAAATCTTGTAATTTAAATTAGATATTTCAACAATCTTATACTCACAGGAACCTCAATCTGCTTGAGGACAAAACAGTTAAGATTTTCATCCATTACATACTCTCCTCTAGGATTGAACAAATATTTTCCTATTTTTGTTGGATTACATTAGGGATTGGCTTTCAGCCCGTATCTTTTTGCTTTAGTTATGGATGCTCTTACTGGACATTTACAGAAGGACATACCTTGGCGTTATGTGTGTGTGTGTGTGTGTGTGCTGATGAAATCCTTCTCGTGGATAAGACGAGGAAATCTTATCACTCAGCACAAATCTTAAGACAAATAACATATATCTCGAGATGATTTTATGGGTATTCGTTTGAGTAGAACTAAAACTTACTAAAACTTAATACATGGAACGTAATTTTAGTAGTAATAGCTCTAGTGACATAATTATAACTATGGGTGATCCATTTATTAAAAGGTGTGATAACTTTAGATATCTCGGGTCTATTGTTCAAAGTGATGGTGATATAGATGGGGATATTATTAGTAGAATTCAAGTTGGTTGGTTGAAGTAGAGGATTGCTTCGGGCCTATAGTTTGATAGAAAAGTACCGCTTAGACTGAAAGGAAAATTTTATAAGATAGTGGTGAGATCTGCAATGCTCTATGGCGTTGAATGTCGGCGTTTAAAAGGGAAGTATAAAACTAAGTTAAGTGTTGTCGAGATGAGAATGATTAGGTGCATGAGTGGCTTTTCACTTAGAGAGCAAATGTGAAATGAATATATCCTTAATAGGGTTGGTGTAGCTCCAGTGACCGACAAAATTAGAGAGTCGTCATAGATGGTTTGGTCAAATTAAACGTCAATCATCTAATGATGCGATTAGGAGAGTAGATGATTTAGATTTAACTTATGTTAAGAAAGACAGAGTAAGACCTAAGATGACTTGGGCATATTGTATAAAAAATAATGTTAATTTATAAGAATTAAATGAAAATATGACACTCGCTAGGATGCAATGGAGAAAATTGATACATGTACCGACCCTACTTAGTGGGATAAAGGTTTGTTGTTGTTGTACATACTCTCCTTTAAAGTCGAAGTCGGAAAATTGGGTCTGTCTGTGATGCATTCTTCCATCATCCGAGAGAGAAGGTTTAGACCTAACAAGGGGATCAAACCTCCGGGAGAACCACCAATCGCAACTCACCTCCATATTATCACCTAGGTATCATGACTGCCATTGTGATTGTCGGATTGATAATAACACCACCCCTGATAGATAACAACTCTCCCCTCACATCTGCAAGAAATAGCTAATCAGTTGCAAGAGTCAGCATTTTTTTCTACGCGAACTTGAGTTTTCTTTTACTGTACTCCAGCTGTGATCATCGTTGCCTGCTGGGGAACGGCCATCGTCTTCCATGGCCATCTCTGGTACCTATTTGGTGTCGAACACCTGGAGAAAACTAGAAATTCCCCACAAGCAGAACAGGGAACGGGAAGAAACCAGGATGGTAATGTTCAATTAGAAAAAGGAAATAACATAATACTGCGGTCAATATTCCCTGACAGCAACATAAAACTAACTACATGGACCATAACTAACTACATATATAACTACATGGACCATAACTAACAACACAGCATAAGAAGCGGACTCATAACTAACTACATGGACCACAAGGATAGCAGCAACATAAAACTAAGTAATTATACTTAATAATAAGCATTATATAAGAAAACAGCAAACTAATAAAAGCAGGTAAATGCACGACAGAAACCAGCGATAAGGAAGTAATCGGAGGGTTTGCATCACTAGTAATGATTAGATTAACATAAAATTAATAAAAAAAACAAGTGAAAACTTTATTAAAATGCGCAAAGTTCATCCCACTTCTATCATTGTAAAAACAGGACGTCATCCAAAACAAAGACATTGTCATTACCCTTATTTCAGCTACTTATTGGTTGTTTGATGGTTGATTTAACATGGAATGTATGGAGAATTTATAATAGGACTCACCAAACAAATTTCAAAGACAATCTAAGTCTAGATTAAGCCTGAGATTTATAAAATAGCACAGGGACTATCAAATTATGTGTCAATCGCCCCCACTGTCCCCAACGTTGGAGAAAATATTACATCCCGAGTTCGAACGTAGATTAACTTCCGAACTCCAATAGCGTTAAAACACGTGATCGTTCAGCTAGACCCACACTAAAAATTATGACAATTGGCGGTGCGCAGAACCGGGCCCAAAACAAGCCCAAAATCTGGAAGAAGTAAGCAATTCAAATACCAGCGCTCACCTTAATTGCCTCTTCTCACATTCAAAGATTTTTCTTTTAAAAATTGTTATCATGTTTTAGACTATTCGTGGTATAAATAGTGGTACAAATGATTGTACGAAAGAATATATTGTCCCTTATCACATGCATAAATCTTGTATTACGCGCTTCTGATGTGAGAAAAAATATATTATGATATTCTGTATTTTTACTGTTTGAAAATTGTTGTTCTAAAATTGTTAACGTATTTTAGACATTATGGTACAGATAATGGTACATATGGATGCATAGAAGAATATATGGTTCATGCTCTCATGCATAAACCTTATGTTGTGCTCATCGGTGTGGGAAATAATATATTATAATATTCTGCAATTTGACTGTTTGAAAATTAATGTTATAGAATTGTTATCATGTTTTAGATATGGTGGGACAAATGGTTTACAAAATGTTATATTGTCCCTTCTCTCATGAATAAATCTTGTCTTGTGCTTGTCTGATGTGAGAAACAATATATTATGATATTATGTACTCTCACTGTTTGAAAATTATTGTTCTTGAATTGTTATCGAGTTTTAGACATCATGGTAGAGATACAGAAGGATACATTGTCCCTTCTCTCATGCATAAATATTATGTTGTCTCATCTAATGTGAGAAACAATATATTATGATATTCAGCACTTTTATTGATTGAAAATTGTTGTTCTAGAATTATTATCATGTTTTTGAAGAATAAATGAATAAATAACAACAAATTAAATAAATGGAGTTTATTACATCATAATTCATTATTTACAAAAATAAAATATGATTACATATGGTTTAAACATGATATGTAACACAATACACCCATCTATATAATTATTTTAGTTTGCTAAGAGGATTTAAATAAAACAAAAATACATGGAACAAAATAAGTTTATCACATCAAAATACATTAGTTTTAATAATAAAACATGGATACATGTGATTTAAACAAAATATATGTATCAATACACTCACCTGTACAACCATTTTATTTTGTCAAGAAAAAAGGTATAAAACAACAAATCAAGAAATAAATGAGGTCTATCATATCAAAATAGATTGGTCCCAACAATAAAACATGATTATATATGATTTAAACATGAGTAATCATGCAATATACACATTTCTACACCCATTCGTATATTCATTTTTTTGCCAAAAAGAGTTGAATAAAATAGTAATAAATTGAATAAATTAAATCTTATAATATCAAAAAAATATTAATTCAAACTACAAAACAAAACTACATATTATTTAAACATGATAAATCAATAAATACAACCATATATAAGCCTCTTTTTAGCCTGTTTATTTACCTTAAAGCTATCTTGTTTTTTGTTATTTAGTTTTTTGTCTTCATTTTCTCTTTCTGGTTCGATTGGTTCACTTCGTGGAAAAACCCTAAACCCCATGACATAAACAACTTCATGAGTTTAGCATAAACCCGTAAACTTTTTGGAATACTCTTTACTAAAGATAGGCTAACTTACCTTAATGATTGCTCTATCGAGTGTTGCGCTACACGAATCTCGTTTGAAAACCCTAAGCTCCCTTGGAAACCCTAAACAAAGAACCCTAGAATGTTAAGAGGAAATGAAACGCGGGCACGGGTATTTGTGTACCTCACTTTTTTTAGATTTCGAGTTTGTTTAAGGCCGTCTCCGCGCACTATCAAATCTCATTTTTTTGTCAACTAAAGTGTGGATCCAGCTGAACTACCAAATGTCTTAATGCTTTTGGAGCCCGGACGTTAATCTACGTCCGCATTATGGACGTAATATTTTCTCCCAATATTCATCCATTGAATGTCTTTGAAAATTGTTTAACTATTTGCTTTAGGATTTAAGACTCATAAAAGAGAGAAACCACTAATGTTAAATGTTATGAATAGTGGAATTAATAAATCTTAACACTGAGATTTAAAATCTCAAATATTTGTTTTACTTGAATTTAAGCTAAATGTTGCTGAAATTCTAAACAAACAGCCGGCGTTTTTTTTTTTTAATCCAGAACTAGGGCTGTCAAAAAAACTCGTTGTTCGCGAACAGTTCGTGTTCGGTTCGTCAATGAGTTCGTGTTCGATTCGTTCGATAAGTAAACGAGACAAACGCGAACAAATTTTTTTCGTTCGGTTAGTTAGACGAACCAAACACGAACAGTGATGCGTTCGTTCGTGTTCGAATCGTTATTGTTTGAAATATAAAATAATATAAAATAATTATATATAAAAAATTTATTATATTTTAAAACATTAAATTTTATAAATTATAATATATAATAAAATAATAATATTAATATATTAATATACTATAGTAGTAATATACTAATATAGATATTGTATATTTATATAATATAAGTTATATAATTAATATATAATATTATTTTTATATATTAACACGAGCTTATTTCAAACAAACTAAATTTTAAACGAACCGAACACGAACACAAGCTTTGTTCGTTCGTGTTCGGTTCGTTTACACCCCTATCCAGAACACAGCTAACATCTTATTCTCCATTTGAATGGAAAACAACACCGAATTTCTTTACCTAATAACCTAATGTGGTAAAGGTGGTAAGGGAGAAGAGAGCAAACAGTACGGGAAGGAGCTTGGAATTCTCTAATTTGAACTTCGGTGGTAGTCATCGACGCCATAGAGAAGACGAAGAGTGTGAATAGCCGGACGGAATCCAGTGCGCAATGGGACAACAGAAACAGCCCGTAAATGCTGCGCATTGCCGTTCTTTGGCTCACACAAAGTCATCTGAAACATCTCTCCCTCCAATATCTCCCCCATCTTCTCCTCGGCAAAAGGATGAGATTTGCAGAAGTTGAAGAGTTCATCAGCCGAGCATCCGACGAGGACTCGCGCTGCCCTGTCGAAGCACATCACCGGAGTCACTTTGTCGGAGATAGCAACGGAGAGAAGGAGACGGTAGAGGCGCTTGGAAGCGGTGGGTGAAGTGTATTTGTGTCTGCAAACATTGCAAGATGGGGGATTGATCAAGGAATCGGTGGGGAGAACGCGCTCGCAGTTCGAACAGGCGAGGTAGGAGAAGCTGGTTGTTTCGGCATCAAGAATCGTGCAAAACGGCGGAGTCCATGGCTTATCAATGCGGGAGCCGCTTCCGTCGCCATCGATCCTCTGCATATTGATTTTAGGTCTGCGGTCTTGCGGACTCGCGGTTTAGAGAGTGGCGAAAAGATATTCGTTCAAAAACACTAGAAAATGAGGAAAAATCATAAATCATATTTGATTCATTTGAATTTAGCTGTAAAAATACCATTTTTAAAACGGTCTCACATTTTCTAATTAAAATGGAATTTTTTTAAAAAAAATAAAAGCAAACAATTAGGACAAGGATGGTAGGAGAAATTCAGTAAACTTAATGGGGTTTTTGTTCAGCATACTACATAACTATTAGGGGGTGTTAAGTAGCACCCTGGATTTTTGTTAAATAGGATTTAGTAGCTTCATTTATCAAATTCATATGTTGTTAAATTCATAATAGTGTTTGATGTTAAACATCGACTATTTGATTAGGTGAGCAGATGCTTTAGAGTCGACTTATATTAAGAAAGGCAGATGTATAGACCTAACAAGACTTAGGTATAATTATAAAAAAAAAATTAACCTATTAAAATTAAATAATAATAATATAATGCGGTGGAGAAAATAAATTCATGTAATTTATTGTTATTGTTGTGTTATTTGGTTCTGTTGAGATTAAAACCAATTAAAGTTGTTGGACGTGTTTGGCATTTTGTTTCAGGATCTTACAACAATTGTTCCCTTAAATCCACCAAATAGTCAGATAAAAAGAATCTAGATTTACAACCCAAATTTGACAAAACTGACCCTTTTTTTGTTTGGTTGGATTTCTTTTAAATCTAGTCATAAATCATCTTAAAATTATGTTGTCGAACGCCCCCTAAGAGATAATGTGACTATAAATACTTTGTAAATAGTTTATAATGTTGGTTTTTCATGACTTTAAAATTTGCTTTAAAATTATTGACACAAAAGTGTTCATTTTCATGTAATGAAAGAAACCAAAGTTCATATTCTTTTCACTCATTCAAAAGGAAATAAAAAGTCTTCAGCCGAGTGACGAATTGGTATTAGAATGCTTGAAGATATGTAAAGTTGTGCGACATTCTTGAGATGCATTATCCACGATATATGTGTTGAATCATGATTTATCTTTTAATCACACAAACGGAATAGAAGGAGAGAGAGAAAGATTGTGTGTGTGTGCGCATGTGTACATTAATTTGTCATGAGTAATCATATCTTTTGGTGAAGATGGCTAGGCTTTTTGAAACATGGGTAAGGATCCAGACTTGCTAGCATCGAAGAAAATTCAACTAAGGTGCGAACGGTAGCGAAACAAGGTGTGGAAGCAAGTGTCGATTGCCTGTCATTTGGATGAATAAAAAATTTCTTCGCTCCATCAGTAGGGATCCAGCAGAGCGCGAAATTGCAGGAGTTGTTGGCTCGTGTGGATAAGGTAGAGAGGATGGAAGAGATAGTCACAACTTTTAGTCGGGAGCTGTCAAATGTCAAGGGGAGATCCTTGATGATCCAAGCCCAATCCGAGTAAGAACGGCTAGGTCAATTTAGGTTTGGGAGATAATTTATGTATGGTAGGTCATTTAGTTAGTGTATGTCTTAGTTGAAGCAGCGTTTGATCCCCTTAAAAAGTATTTCCTCTCATAATAATTTTGAATGTCTCTTTGTAATTTAAAATGTCTTTTTTTTTTCATAAACATATTTTTCTTGCTTTATTTTATGTGTTGATGTGATCATGTTGTAAGCCCATAACAAAATGGTTGTGCAATTTTGATTTGACCCATGCGCGACAGTTCAACTTCCTTTGTTTTCATAAGAAAATAAATATATATATATTGAATGAGCTACCACTCATTATGGTATCAATCTCCTCTTTTATAAAGATCAGTATTGTTTTGGCCTCCAACTACGTGGTATCGATCTCGTCATTTATAAAGATAATTTTGTTTCAGCCTCCAACTGCCTTTTTTCCGAAGTTATGATCCATCTTTGCCCACTTTGGCGTCATCCTCGCCCATATTATTTCCAACTCCATAGCAGTCATCACGACCTTCATAGCTTTCCGTCATTGATCAGGGATTTTGTGGGTTGTAAAAACCTTTAGCTATTTATTCTCATTTTGTTAAACATCCACCATAGAGTAAATGTTTTAGATTCGACTTATGTTAAAAAAGACAGAGATAGAGCTAAGAAGACTTGGTATATTGTATAAAAAATGCTCTTAATATATTAAAAGAAATAAAAAAAAATGACACTCAATAGAACGCAGTGGTGAAAAAGGATTCATGTAGCCGACCTACTTAGTGGGATAAAGACTTGTTGTTATTATTGTGTTGTTTGATTCAGTTGAAGTTAAATTCAGTCAAAGTCGCTGGACGTGTTAGGTATTTTACGCCAGTATCTTATAACAATTATTTTCTTCTCAAGCTAAATCCATTAAATCCACCAAATAACCAGATATAAAAAAACTTGGATTTACATCCAAAAATAGATGGAATAGAGAGGAAAAATGGATTTAATAGAGCGTCTGATTTAGCTTCCCTCTTTTTTTTTTTTTTTTTTTTTTTTTTTTGCCTTTGGTTAAATTTGCTTTAAATCTAGCCATAAATCTCATTAAAAGTATGCTACCAAACAACCCTTAGAGATAATGTGACTATAAATACTTTGTAAATAGTTTATAGTGTTGGTTGATCATGAATTAAAATTTGGACTTTAAAATTTTGGACACAAAAGTATTCATTATCATGTTGCAAAAGAAACCTAAGTTCATGATGTTTTATCATCTCTTTCAAATGGAAATAAAAAGTCCTCAGAAGAATCAGTATTAAATGCTTGAAGATATGTTAAGTTGTGTGCATTCGTGAGATGCATTATCCACAATATATGTGATGAATCCTGATTTATTGATGAGTCACACACAAGGAATAGAAGGAGAGAGAGAGAGAGAGAGAGAGTGTGTGTGTGTGTGTGAATGGTAATTTGTCATGATTAATCATGTCACATAAAATGATTCTATTTTTATAAATGAGAGGGTTCAAAATGATATTACATTTTTGCCCCTACTTTAGAGGGGTATGTACTAAAGTGTTTATGGTATGTTACATGTGTAAGTCGGTCGTCTGGTGACTTTCTGACTTGGTTGCTGACCTTAATCAGCTTCGGGTCGGTAAGATCAACTCGTTCTGCTGAGCTTATTCGGTATGGTTCGACCAATTGATACGATTTGGTTATCAATCCTTAGTCATTACTGAGGAACTTTTGCGGTGTCTCTTGTATAGTTGAGGATATTGTGAAGTTGGATCTTCCCTTGGATTGGTTCCTTAGGAGGGTTGATTATTGCAACTATTTGACTTTCATGTAAAGGTCAGTTTGGATGTTCTTTCGCCTCTCATTTGTTTAATTTGTTTAGGCTTGGACCGTCCGATTAAGAGAGTAGATGTTTAAGGTTCGACTTATGTTAAAAAAGGCAGAGGTAGACCTAGGAAGACTTGGGCTTATTATATAAAAATGATCTTTATTTATTAGAACTAAATGAAAATATAACACTAAATAAGACGCAATGGAGAAAAAGGTTTCATGTAGCCGACCCACGTAGTGGAATTAGGCTATGTTGTTGTTGTAGGTTTGGATCGTCCGGTCGTCTTTTTATCTGCCTGGCAACTTGGTTAATTTTATCCTTCTGGTTTGGCTCAGACATCTTTACATGATCGAACTAGTTGGTTTCATGACATGGTAGTAAGTCCACCTTCACCATACTCTTCCCTTTTATACCGTTAGATCTCCTTAGGATCAACATTGACACATATTTATGTATATATTTTAGTTTCTCAATTCTTTTATTTTTGAAAGTGATGTTGTTATAAAAATAAGTGAATTTATTTTAACAGTAGATCGCATTTAGTATTAATAAATGATTCAAGGATTGAACTCCCTTGATTTTTGTGCATTTGATTCTTATAAATAAGACGTGAGACTCCTACCCATTCTTATTTTTTTAGTGACTTCTCTCATTTTAATTGATTAGCATTTCAGTGTTGTGATGAAGAGCATATCAAACCCTTAGGGCGCTATCCTTAACAAATGTCTAATATATTTTGCCTTCAATAAATTTAAAGGAAGGGATTACTCGGAAGGTAAAAGGAAAAACAAAGTTGTTGTTAACAACAGAAAAATGATTGTACTCTCACTGATGGGTCAGGTTGGATCATCTAATTCATTCCTCTGAAACAAGCAGAATATTCAGTTGATCGGTCCATCAATCAATCTGGCTTCTACTGCAGTGCAAGATCTGCCAATTAAACTAGTTGTGCGAGTGGCTGATGGAGCTCTCCTGTCACACCGTGAGGGTTTTGTGTTGAATATGGCATCTGTGTTGGATCAGCTCATGGGCATGAGGAGCCTTGGTCATGTTAGATTTATTTTTCTTCTAAAGTTCTTTTGCTTTATATTGTCCGTTGGTGCAGATGACTCAGCTTTTAAAAATTCGGTTGAGGTTCCAGTCTTGCTGGCATCAATGAGAATTCAACCAAGGTGTCAACAATAACAAACACGTGTCAGGCAAGTGTGGATGGCTCTTGAGTGAGGATGATGTACTTGATTGCCATGACTACCCCCTTGAAGGGCGTGGGGAAGCAGTTGATCAACTCAAAATGTTCTTTGGGTTGATTGCCCATCGTCTAGATGAAATCGATAATTTCTTTGCTCGGTCGGTAGGGATCCAGTGGGGCGAGAAGGTGGAGAAGATGGAAGAGGTAATGGCAACTTTTAGTCGGGAGTTGTCGGACGTTTGAGAGAGATCCTTAATAATCCAAGCCCAAGTTGAACCATAACAACTATTCAATTTAGGCATGTTGGATAATTTTTGAATAAGAGATCGTTAAACTTGGGCATATCACAGATGAAGTGACAACAGACCCCATTGTAAAGTATTTATTCTCTAACTAATTTTCGAGTGTCTCATTGTAATATATATATATATATATATATATATATATATG